TCCCAGTGGGGCTGTTTAACCTCCCAGGAGAGTGATGTTATCTCCTAGTGGGGCTGTTTAACCTCCCAGGAGACCTATGTTATCTCCTAGTGGAGCTGTTTAACCTCCCAGGAGAGCTATGATATCTCCTAGTGGGGCTGTTTAACCTCCCAGGAGAGTGATGTTATCTCCTAGTGGGGCTGTTTAACCTCCCAGGAGAGTGATGTTATCTCCCAGTGGGGCTGTTTAACCTCCCAGGAGAGTGATGTTATCTCCCAGTGGTGCTGTTTAACCTCCCAGGAGAGCTATGATATCTCCTAGTGGTGCTGTTTAACCTCCCAGGAGAGTGATGTTATCTCCTAGTGGGGCTGTTTAACCTCCCAGGAGAGTGATGTTATCTCCTAGTGGAGCTGTTTAACCTCCCAGGAGAGTGATGTTATCTCCTAGTGGAGCTGTTTAACCTCCCAGGAGAGCTATGTTATCTCCTAGTGGGGCTGTTTAACCTCCCAGGAGAGTGATGTTATCTCCTAATGGAGCTGTTTAACCTCCCAGGATAGCTATGTTATCTCCCAGTGGGACTGTTTAACCTCCCAGGAGAGTGATGTTATCTCCCAGTGGGGCTGTTTAACCTCCCAGGAGAGTGATGTTATCTCCCAGTGGAGCTGTTTAACCTCCCAGGAGACCTATGTTATCTCCTAGTGGGGCTGTTTAACCTCCCAGGAGACCTATGTTATCTCCCAGTGGGGCTGTTTAACCTCCCAGGAGAGTGATGTTATCTCCCAGTGGTGCTGTTTAACCTCCCAGGAGAGTGATGTTATCTCCCAGTGGTGCTGTTTAACCTCCCAGGAGAGTGATGTTATCTCCCAGTGGTGCTGTTTAACCTCCCAGGAGAGTGATGTTATCTCCTAGTGGGGCTGTTTAACCTCCCAGGAGAGTGATGTTATCTCCCAGTGGTGCTGTTTAACCTCCCAGGAGAGTGATGTTATCTCCTAGTGGGGCTGTTTAACCTCCCAGGAGAGTGATGTTATCTCCCAGTGGTGCTGTTTAACCTCCCAGGAGAGTGATGTTATCTCCTAGTGGGGCTGTTTAACCTCCCAGGAGAGTGATGTTATCTCCTAGTGGGGCTGTTTAACCTCCCAGGAGAGTGATGTTATCTCCCAGTGGTGCTGTTTAACCTCCCAGGAGAGTGATGTTATCTCCTAGTGGGGCTGTTTAACCTCCCAGGAGAGTGATGTTATCTCCTAGTGGAGCTGTTTAACCTCCCAGGAGAGTGATGTTATCTCCTAGTGGAGCTGTTTAACCTCCCAGGAGACCTATGTTATCTCCCAGTGGAGCTGTTTAACCTCCAAGGAGAGTGACACTATCTCCCAGTGGAGCTGTTTAACCTCCCAGGAGAGTGATGTTATCTCCCAGTGGAGCTGTTTAACCTCCAAGGAGACCTATGTTATCTCCCAGTTGGACTGTTTAACCTCACAAATGATCTATGCTATTTTCCTCCGAACTGTGTAATCACCTAGTTTAGCTTTACAGTCTCCTAGGGGATCATTTATCTCATCTCCAAAGGGATCTGTTTTATCTCCTAGGGGAATTGTGTTTTCTCGCAGGAGGGCCCTGATATCCATCAAGGAAACTGGTTAATTTCTAAGGGGATCTGTGTTATCTCTAAGGGGAGCTGTTTACTTTCTCAGGGGAGCTGTGTTATCTGCCAATGAAGGTGTGATATTTACCAAAGGAGCTCTCACTTATCAAATTCCATAAGAGAGCTATAATCTTCTTGGGGGGAAGGGCTGTGTTTTCTCCTAAATGAGTTGTTTAAACTGCCAGGGAAACTACATAATTTCTCATGGGAGAAATGATTTCTCCAGGGGAGATAACTTATTTTACAGGAGAGCTGTTTAATTTCCTTTGAGAGTTGTGTTTATCTCCCATGGGAGCTGTGTAAACTCCTGTGGGAGCTGTGTTACCTCATAAGTGATCCAGTGAAGACTTGTGATCTCTCCCTTTTTTCTACAGAAGCAGAAGTAGCAAAGTTCTTCCATTGTAAGCAGGGATCATGGAAGTCTATCTCAAATAAAAGCTGTTCTGTTGATCATTCATCAGGGAGCATGGGCTTGAGTGATTGCTTGCTTTTTTTCCAGAGAAATACTTTGCTATAAGACCCCATTTGTATTTAGGTTGCTACAGGGGTATTAACAGAAAACCACGGGCTGTCCACAAGATCAGCTGATGAGAATGCAGACCATCCCATGAAAGTCAAACAACAGATACACAGGCAATTCTACAAGACTAAATTTATTCATATACAAATTGGTGTTGGCACCATTTAAGTACATTTGATGTATGGTGGGTTCTTTACTGATTCCTTCTAAATCTAGCTTTTCGCCTCCATAAGCTTCTTTTAAGCCCCTTTGATCTATTCAATGCATTGATATTCTGCTGTTTTGTGAAAAATTCAGTCCTCTGTTATTGCTAAGCAAATACTTGTATTTTTCTACCACTTTATCAAGTGATTATGAATATCATTATAGAATTATGATTTAACAAGAAAAAAATTTAAATTTTTTTTTATTAGAAATCCTACAATTCTGGTAAGGTTTCTCCTAGACTTAAGTTTTGAAGAATTTTAAAATCCTCTAGGAATATAATGAACAGTTTGGGAGAACCAGAATCACAGTTTTTCAGCGAGGTTGACCAGAGAAGTAACCTACGTGGGGAAAAATAACAATTATTATCAAGGAATAATAAAGGAGAATTTATTTGACTGAACAAGACTGTGTATCTATTGTAACCAGAACTTTGATTGTAGTAATAACAATGCTAATATCTTCTGTCTGGTCTGATGCAATACAATAATCTTGTTTAGGTATGCCAAACCATTACATCATCCGTTGTAAACAGACAACCAGTCTTTTTCGTGATGTATATTGAACCTTTCTCAATAACTTGCACAAAGAAACTCTCTATCAAAATCTAATCCAGGTTTTCTAATAATGTTCCAGCTTTCTAACATCCAAACAGCTTTTGAACCTTTGTAATTTTTTACAGATTACTTGAATTTGTACAGCTTAAAATGGTTTTATTTTGTTTTTGTTTTGTTGTAAAGTCTGGGGCTATAATCTCTCATAGTTTTAATATACAGCTGTACTCTCTCATAGTTTTAGTATACAGCTGTACTCTCTCATAGTTTTAGTATACAGCTGTACTCTCTCATAGTTTTAGTATACAGCTCTCTCATAGTTTTACTCTCTCTCATAGTTTTAGTATACAGCTGTACTCTCTCATAGTTTTAGTATACAGCTGTACTCTCACATAGTTTTAGTATACAACTGTATTCTCTCATAGGGTCAGTATACAGCTGTACTCTCTCATAGTTTCAGTATACAGCTGTACTCTCTCATAGTTTTAATATACAGCTGTACTCTCTCATAGTTTTAGTATACAGCTGTACTCTCTCATAGTTTTAGTATACTGTACTCTCTCATAGTTTTAGAGTTTCTCACATAGTTTTAGTATACAGCTGTACTCTCTCATAGTTTTAGTATACAGCTGTACTCTCTCAATGAGTTTAGTTTACAGCTGTACTCTCTCATAGTTTTAGTATACAGCTGTACTCTCTCATAGTTTCAGTATACAGCTGTACTCTCTCAATGAGTTTAGTTTACAGCTGTACTCTCTCATAGTTTTAGTATACAGCTGTACTCTCTCATAGTTTTAGTATACAGCTGTACTCTCTCATAGTTTTAGTATACAGCTGTACTCTCTCATAGTTTTAGTATACAGCTGTACTCTCTCATAGTTTTAGTATACAGCTGTACTCTCTCATAGTTTTAGTATACAGCTGTACTCTCTCATAGTTTTAGTATACAGCTGTACTCTCTCATAGTTTTAGTATACAGCTGTACTCTCACATAGTTTTAGTATACAGCTGTACTCTCTCATAGTTTTAGTTTACAGCTGTACTCTCTCATAGTTTCAGTATACAGCTGTACTCTCTCAATGAGTTTAGTTTACAGCTGTACTCTCTCATAGTATACAGCTGTACTCTCTCATAGTTTTAGTATACAGCTGTACTCTCTCATAGGTTCAGTATACAGCTGTACTCTCTCATAGTTTTAGTATACAGCTGTGCTCTCTCATAGTTTTAGTATACAGCTACCGTCACAGTGGTTCTAGAATGTATCTCTACTGTCTCTGCTATTCTAGACTACAGTCGTACGTTTTCAGTGGTTTTAGGAATAGACTTTTCTGTTTTTATTTTTTGTCATTTGTCAAACACATGGTGTATTTCCTGTTGTTTAGAAATAGACATGGGAACTGGACCTCTCGTGTGATTTGATACAGTTCCAATATGTTGGTTACACAGTTGACATTGGTATCCAAATTAATACAAAGCTGCAACAGATAGTGGGGAGAAAATCTAAATCAATGATACAACCCTCCGTAAATATCCTACTGGGGCTCTGTGATAAGTACCATGGCTATTTATCAAATTGTGTATGGTAATATAGTCCACGGTATTGATTGATGGAAATTTATACAGCACAAAATCCATTTCAATTGGATTAGAACACTTTAAGATCATCTTAGGCTAGAATCGAGGTATTATATCTACAGAAGATTTTATCCAATTAGGGCAGTACTGACTGCGGTATAGCCTCCAGCTATATCTAATCAGTATGGTGTGTACAATTTTGGAAGTACGACACTCTGACAAATGAGAAGTTATCTATGAGAGCCTTTGTGAAATTGTTTCTGTCTAGCTCTTTTCTAAAAACGAAGTATGTCATTAAAATGATTTTTGAGTTGGTGTTGGTGGCTGTGTGTAGCATAGTAATGCATATACAAGTTCTGCTTTTAGCCTGCAACCTACTCCAAATTAAGGAAGCACGGCAAACATTACAATTTGTGATTTATCAGCGGATGTATGTTTTCCACATGAGAAATTTGATGATAATTTGATAAGTATTAATTACACGTATGCAGATGATGTTTGTTAATACTACTGTTGACTTGTGTTACAGTGGCAAATCCACCTGATCGGGCAAAAGATGACGCCAGCGTCGGATCTAAAAATGGTCAGCTGTCACGTGAGTATCTCATCTAAAACACCGGTGTAGCATGGTATTGTGGAGCATGGGGAAATGAACCGGGGTCAAAATACCATAATGGTGAACATGGCCAGGATTGTTCAAACCAATCCATCCTGATATCTATAGCTGTCTAGGTACTCAAATCTTTCTAGTGATAGTCTGACCTGGTACAAAATTTTTTATGCTGATAATCTGTCAGAGTCACTCAGTTTTCAAGACTGATAGCCTGTCATGATACTCAATATTCAACACTGATAGTTTGTCCTTGTACTTAATCTTCCTTACAAATAGTTTGTCCTGGTACTCAATCTTTCTTACAGATAGTTTGTCCTGGTACTCAATCTCCCTTACTGACAGTTTGTCCTGGTACTCAGTCTTCCTTACTGATAGTTTGTCCTGGTACTCAGTCTTCCTTACTGATAGTTTGTCCTGGTACTCAATCTTCCTTACAGATAGTTTGTCCTGGTACTCAATCTCCCTTACTGACAGTTTGTCCTGGTACTCAAACTTCCTTGCTGATAGTTTGTCCTTGTACTCAGTCTTCCTTACAGATAGTTTGTCCTGGTACTCAATCTCCCTTACTGACAGTTTGTCCTGGTACTCAATCTCCCTTACTGATAGTTTGTCCTCTCAATCTTCCTCACTGATAGTTTGTCCTGGTACTCAATCTCCCTTACCAATAGTTTGTCCTGGTACTCAATCTTCCTTACTGATAGTTTGTCTTGGTACTCAATCTTCCAGACTGACAGCCCCCTGGTACTCCTCACTGCTTGAGGTGAAGGGGATTTAATTTTATATATGGTGGGTCTCAGCCCCTTGAGGTAGGAGGGGCATATGGCCCAACAGGAAAAACAGAGAAAATTCATTTAAATCGTTTTTCTTTTGAAGAAATTCATAGATTCTGTCCCAATTTGGTCTGAAGTATCTATGGGTGAAGAGAAATCAGTTTTAGATAAATGATGAATCAAGGCTCCTTGGGGCTAGAGGGGCAGGGCCCCCAGAGGAGCATGAAAGCAAATTCTTTTAAATTCTTCCTCTTCTGTAGGGATGTCAGGATTCTGTCCCAATTCAGTCAGAAGCACTTTTGGGTGAAGGAAATTTTTTTTTAATCAACAGTTGGTCTTTGCTAACTGAATTTGGTCTGAATAATTATCCTTGGATGAAGGGAACTCAGTATTGTATAAACATCGTCATTGAATCCCACACACTACCTCACCCTACCCCCTTGTGGCAGTGCGGGGACAGGTCTAATTGAGAGCGAGATAACAATCTATAAACTACTGTATCTTTAGTTAAGTAGATATTGTGTAAAAGCAATTAGATAATGTACAAGATTAATTACAGTGAACGTATCCAGGTGAGTGATACAGGCCCTATGAGCTTTTGTATTAGTGTCCTATTCTCCAGATATTGAAACCCAAAGCTGTCTATATCTGTTAAAGTGAACTCTTTTAAACGCATATAATTTTATGATATCTGTGGTTGATGAATTGAACTGTTGACAGATTGGAAGAATGAGTTAGCAAACAGTAATACCTACTGCTTAAGAAGTAAATCGATCGAGCAAAACAAGAGCGTTTGGCCTCCGGTGGCATCATGTGTCCACTCCCTGTCATCGTTATCGTTAGATCACTGTTGAATTAACACCTTATCACAAAACACCTGCTCCTTCCAGACTGCATGGTCACATGGAGATGCGGTGTCAGTGCTGAATGCTGATTAGTGCTGATCTAATTACCTATATCCTCAGTCCTGTTTCTTTGAAAGTTAGAGCAGGCTATTGTTAGGTATCAATGGTTTCCTTTGGATGTACAAAAAAAATCATTCAGACGAGAAATTTCCGAGCTGTGTTAAAAAGAAATATGAGCAGCAACTGTTCAGTTTATGTCAGAAAGTCCCTTTAAAAATGTTATTTATTTCACAACAATTTTGAAACAAGTTATTTCAGCTTATACAAATCACTCTTGTTGGCCTTGATGTAGGCACTCCAAGGGTCTTATTGTGGGAGGAAACTAGAGCTCCCAGGGGGGGAAACTCAGGCATGTGACTTCCCTACCATTTCATGTCAGTAGAAGGAAGTGAACCTCACCATTGGCTAGCTAAGAAAAACATAAATATGTTACCATTGTGCGACCAGACCACCCAAAAGTGTTCAATTTACAAGAATAAAGGAGAAGGTTTGTCTCTGGAGAGTCCCACGATGTTATTTCATGAGAGTCCCACAAAATTCTGAGGTGACCTTTTGCAATCACCTTCTGTCTGGAGTCATGCATCATAAATGGCAAAAATTGTAAATTATGTGGTCCCCAATTCCCGGGGGCCTGAGAGCCAGGCCAGAAAAGGTCAAATTGATTGAAACTGCAAAATGCTTCTTCATACCCAGGTATGGTAGAATCAAATACTCTTCATGGATGGAAAGGCCTTTAGAAGCTTTACAAAAAGTGTGAATTTCATGACCCAAGAACATCACTTTTTTTCCTGGGGAGGGAGTAAAATTTACTATAGTTATATAGAAAAATTACATTTTTGAGTATGATTTCTTTATATCTGTTAGAAATAGTTCAAACATTCGTTAGTATTTTTTAAGTATAAATGGCAGTTTGATGAGACACACATATTGACCTTGGCTGACCCCAGGAGTTGTGGGTTGTAGTGAGATTGACATATATTGACCTTGGCTGACCCCAGGGGTTGTGGGTTGTAGTGAGATTGTTAGATGTATTTTATAAGCTTAGTCAGATTGATAGCATGGTGCTACTGTGTAGACAGACAGAAGATCTATTCTTTTTCTTCCAGTCGTTCCTTGCTACTGTGAAGACAGACACAAAATATCTAGCGTTTTTCTCCCATTCATTCATTGCTACTGTGTATACAGACACAAAATATCTAGCATCTTTGTTTTTGGTCATTCCTTGCTGCTGTGTAGACAGACACAAAATATCTAGCATCTTTGTTTTTGGTCATTCCTTGCTGCTGTGTAGACAGACACAAAATGTCTAGCATTTTTGTTTTTTGGTCATTCCTTGCTAGAGAAAGACACAAAATATCTAGCATTTTTTTCCCAGTCATTCTTTGCCACTATGTAGACAGACACAAAATATCTAGCATTTTTCTCCCAGTCGTTCTTTGCTGCTGTATAGACAGACACAAAATATCTAGCATTTTTGTTTTTTTTGGTCGTTCCTCGCTGGGCAAAATGACAGACAGGTACAGAAGAAAACTTAAATATAAATAAACATTTTCTAATTTTAACAGTGAAGGGTTTCATTGTTTCCGATACAGCCATTAACAATACCAAACTGTATCCAAGACACTTTTAGTTATCTCAGATTTGATTTATTTCCGATTAGACATTCTGAAGAAAGTCTGACCACTTCTATAGTGTGGTACAGTATCTCCACATTTCTTCTCTTCTCAATCATTAATATAACCAACAAACTGGCAGAGCTCACTGCTGGTGTCCAGGTCCACTCCAGTCATCACAGGAAAAAGAGAAATCTAATTTGTATCCAACAATTCCTATACCATTAAGGATCCTTACATTGTAAGTGTTTCCACAGATGAAGTAGATCCCCATTCTCTACAAGATAGTGCTAACCCATCCCAGGGATTTTTCAACAACGACGAAAATAGAGACGGAATTTCCATGCATGAATAATTCTGGAAAGATAATCAGAGGAGAATAGGCTTGAGAGTTTAGGAAAATGGTCTTAAGATAGATAGAGTAAATATGACATTGTAGGAAAATGGTCTTAAGATAGATAGAGGAAATATGACATTGTAGGAAAATGGTCTTAATATAAATATAGGAAATATGACATTGTAGGAAAATGGTCTTAAGATAGATAGAGGAAATATGACATTGTAGGAAAATGGTCTTAAGATAGATAGAGGAAATATGACATTGTAGGAAAATGGTCTTAAGATAGATAGAGGAAATATGACATTGTAGGAAAATGGTCTTAATATAAATATAGGAAATATGACATTGTAGGAAAATGGTCTTAAGATAGATAGAGGAAATATGACATTGTAGGAAAATGGTCTTAAGATAGATAGACTAAATATGACATTGTAGGAAAATGGTCTTAAGATAGATAGAGGAAATATGACATTGTAGGAAAATGGTCTTAAGATAGATAGAGTAAATATGACATTGTAGGAAAATGGTCTTAAGATAGATAGGGTAAATATGACATTGTAGGAAAATGGTCTTAAGATAGATAGAGGAAATATGACATTGTAGGAAAATGGTCTTAAGATAGATAGAGGAAATATGACATTGTAGGAAAATGGTCTTAAGATAGATAAAGGAAATATGACATTGTAGGAAAATGGTCTTAAGATAGCTAGAGGAAATATGACATTGTAGGAAAATGGTCTTAAGATAGATAGAGGAAATATGACATTGTAGGAAAATGGTCTTAATATATAGGCATGACATTGTAGGGAAAATGGTCTTAATACCAAGATATAGGCATGACATCGAAGGAAAATGGTCTTAATACCAAGATATAGGCATGACATTGAAGGAAAATGGTCTTAATACCAAGATATAGGCATGACATTGAAGGAAAATGGTCTTAATACCAAGATATAGGCATGACATTGTAGGAAAATGGTCTTAGTTCTAAGATGTAGGCATGGTATTGAAGGGAAATGGTCTTAGTACCAAGATGTAGGCATAACAATGTAGAAAAAGGGTCTTAATACAATGGTGTAATAGTGTATATGTAATTAATGATAAAGTCACATTTATCAACTGCATGATCCTAAATTTAGTTTGTACATGTAGATCACCCCTGAATACTCTATAACTATTGGTAAATGATATTTTTGCTTTATTTCTGTATACAAGGAACTGGATCTCTAACAGTGCTGAGAAGAACTAACTCCAAAACCAAGGTGGGAGGTTCTACCAGTAGCAGTCGAACTTCCAGTGTTGTCAGTGCTGAGAGTGATTCTTACGCAAGTGTGGACCTTGGGACTGACAAATTACCAGCAATAGATACCCCAGATGCTTCACATGTTTGCTCAATACGGTAATAGTTCCTATTCAGCCGTGTGGTATTGAGTGACATCTGTCTATAATGTTCTGTTCGATGTTAGGCATCATTTGTAATCAACGAATGAAATCGACATTAAACCAGTGAAACGAAAATAATTTTGTATCCCTCTGTTGTTTACTGCTGTAAAGTGTCAAATAATTGTAAAGCTGGCTAATATAATACATCTGAACCTTCGTTGGAAAATGTAGTCTAAAATGTTTTGTTCTTTTGTTTATTTTTATGACGTGTGTCCCAAGAGTCAGAATGCCTTATCATGTTAGTTGTCTCACTATGCACCATTACCCACAAATAAACTTTTCACATTTTAATTTTCTCAAGTTTAGCAAGTAAGATTAGCTCACTACTTGGCGTAAAACAGTTTAACGTAGTACAATTATAAATTATTTAATGTGAACGTGTAATGTAGTTTTGTTCCTGTCATCCCTGACTTTCAACTGTTGTTAAAATAGGTTTCTTACTCTCTCTTAATCAGGGCCCGTATTCATGAAACCGTTCTCACGCTCAAGCATGAATTTTGAGCGCAAGCCTTATATCTTGTTTAAGTTAAAAATAAAAAAAACAAGACTGATTTTGCCAAAGAATTAAAAAAAAATTTGAAAGGACTTCAAGTCAAAGTTATATTCAATGTTTATATTTAATTATAAAAAATGTCTGCTTGAGCACAAAATCTATGGTTGAGCATGAGAATGGTTTAATGAATATGGGCCCTGGACTGTTGTTAAAACTGGCTCTCTGCTATTCCTAACTAAGAACTGTTGATCAAATAGGCTTCCTGCTGCTCCTAACACAGGATTTTCTGTATAATAGGCTTCCCGCTATCCCTAACTCTGAACTGTTCTTAAAATCAGCTTCCTATCCCTAACTCTGGGCGGTTTTTATAATCAGCTTCCTGCTATCCCCTAGAGGAGTATTTAGTGTAGAAACAAAACAGGGTCAAGTTTTTTGTTTCTAGAGAGATCACTGTTAGGTCCATGGACATATTGTCATTCATGTGTTCCCTGTTCCCAGGTATATCACTGTTAGGTCCATGGACATGTTGTCATTCATGTGTTCTGTGTTTCTGACAGATCACTGTTAGGTCCATGGACATATTGTCATTCATGTGTTCTGTGTTTCCAGACAGATCAATAAAAAAACTCCATATTGTCATTCATGTGTTCCCTGTTCCCAGATAGATCACTGTTAGGTCCATGGACTTATTGTCATTCATGTGTTCTGTGTTTCTGACAGATCACTGTTAGGTCTATGGACATGTTGTCATTCATGTGTTCTGTGTTTCTGACAGATCACTGTTAGGTCTATGGACATATTGTCATTCATGTGTTCTGTGTTTCTGACAGATCACTGTTAGGTCCATGGACATATTGTCATTCATGTGTTCTGTGTTTCCAGACAGATCAATAAAAAAACTCCATATTGTCATTCATGTGTTCCCTGTTCCCAGATAGATCACTGTTAGGTCCATGGACTTATTGTCATTCATGTGTTCTGTGTTTCTGACAGATCACTGTTAGGTCTATGGACATGTTGTCATTCATGTGTTCTGTGTTTCTGACAGATCACTGTTAGGTCTATGGACATATTGTCATTCATGTGTTCTGTGTTTCTGACAGATCACTGTTAGGTCTATGGACATATCGTCATTCATGTGTTCTGTGTTTCTGATAGATCACTGTTAGGTCTATGGACATATCGTCATTCATGTGTTCTGTGTTTCTGACAGATCACTGTTAGGTCTCTGGACATATCGTCATTCATGTGTTCTGTGTTTCTGACAGATCACTGTTAGGTCTATGGACATATCGTCATTCATGTGTTCTGTGTTTCTGACAGATCACTGTTAGGTCTATGGACATATCGTCATTCATGTGTTCTGTGTTTCTGACAGATCACTGTTAGGTCTATGGACATATCGTCATTCATGTGTTCTGTGTTTCTGACAGATCACTGTTAGGTCCATGGACATATTGTCATTCATGTGTTCCCTGTTTCTGACAGATCACTGTTAGGTCTATGGACATATTGTCATTCATGTGTTCTGTGTTTCTGACAGATCACTGTTAGGTCTATGGACATATCGTCATTCATGTGTTCTGTGTTTCTGACAGATCACTGTTAGGTCTATGGACATATCGTCATTCATGTGTTCTGTGTTTCTGACAGATCACTGTTAGGTCCATGGACATATTGTCATTCATGTGTTCACTGTTTCTGACAGATCACTGTTAGGTCTATGGACATATTGTCATTCATGTGTTCTGTGTTTCTGACAGATCACTGTTAGGTCTATGGACATATTGTCATTCATGTGTTCTGTGTTTCTGACAGATCACTGTTAGGTCCTTGGACATATCGTCATTCATGTGTTCTGTGTTTCTGACAGATGCTGTTTTGTATTCTCAGATTAAGACATATACTGAGAAGGTTACAGAAGGAAGACATATCGCGGGAGGACTTACAGAGGAATTTGGAATATGCAGCATCCGTTTTAGAAACAGTTTACATAGATGAAACAAGGTAAAAATATTATAAAACCCTTACAATCCATATGACACTGCCAGTCACTCTGTTTAGTCATGTTTTCTTCATATTGGTTCAAATCATTGATTTCACCTATGTTCGGTGTTGAGTACGGGTTCACCCACATGAAATTTTCAGGACAGCTGTTGGTTTGAAAGGTAAACATTTAGTTCAAATAAATTCTTTTTTCACTTCATAAGTCATAAGGGTCGCCAACACCTAATGAAGAAATGATGACGTGTTTTGAGGCTCTGTAAGTTACTGATAATGAATGTCAGTTTGAGTTCAATACCTTGCAGTAATTGTTTCTTGTAAGTAGATTGGGTTCACTGATATCTACTTACTGGTATAAAACATGTACTTTCTTAGTTCACCTGGCCAAAATGTTATAGGTCATCCATTGTCCATCCGTCAACTTTTTTCTCCTAATCACTACTTATCATGAACAACTGAGCTGATTTTGAACAAATTTGGTCAGAAATATCCTTTGGGGAAGGAACCATGTATAAATGGTGTATCTCAGTCCTCAGGGGCTAATGGGCTTGGCCAAAAAGGGCAATTTTGAAAGTCCTACTCCTGCTATAGGAATGATTGGATTTGGGGGAATCAATTTAGTATAAATGGTGGATCTATGCTCCCAGAGAAGGTAGGTGGAGCCCCATAGGGGAAATAAAGCAAATTTTCAAAATCCTGAAGAAATTAATGGATTTTGTCCAAATTTGGTCTGAAGCATTCTTGGGTGAAGAGGAATCCGTTTTCTATAAATAATGGGTCTCTTTTCTCCGGGGTGGGAGGGGCAAAGCCACATAGGGGAAATAGAGCAAATTCTATAAAACCCTACCCCTCCTGTAAGAATGAGTGGATTTTGCCCAAATTTGACCTTAATTATCAATCAGTGAGTGAAGAGAAATTGATTTTGTATAAATGTTGGATCTCTGTCCCTTGTGGTGGGAGGGGTGGGGCCCAGAAGGGGTGGGGCCCAAGGGAGGGGTGGGGCCCAGGGAGGGGGCCCATGGGAGGATGGGGCCCAAGGAGGGGGGCCATGGGAGGGGTGGGGCCCAGGGAGGGGGCCCATGGGAGGGATGAGGGGAGGACTAGGGCCAGTAAGGGGAAATAAAGGAAATTAAGTCTAAAAATTCCTACTTCTTCTGTACAAATGATATCATTTTGCTAAAATTTTGTCTGACTTAGCATCCTAGAGTGCAGGGACTCAATTTTGTATTAATTTGTAGTCACAAACACAGCTTTATATAAGATTTTCTAGTCACAAACACACAACACTGTATCACATCTTAGTCACACACACACATAACACTGTATCCTATCTTATTCACACACACACAACACTGTATCACATCTTAGTCACACACACACACAACACTGTATCATATCTTAGTCACACACAACACTTATCATATCTTAGTCACACACACAACACTGTATTATATCTTAGTCACATACACAACACTGTATCATATCTTAGTCACACACACAACACTGTATCATATCTTAGTCACACACACAACACTGTATCATATCTTAGTCACACACACAACACTGTATCAAATCTTAGTCAAACACACAACACTGTATCACATCTTAGTCACACACACACACAACACTGTAACACATCTTAGTCACACACACACACAACACTGTATCATATCTTAGTCTCACACACACACAACACTGTATCAAATCTTAGTCACACACACAACACTGTATCATATCTTAGTCACACACACAACACTGTATCATATCTTAGTCACACACACAACACTGTATCATATCTTAGTCACACACACAGCACTGTATCATATCTTAGTCACACACACAACACTGTATCATATCTTAGTTACACACACAACACTGTATCTTATCTTAGTCACACACACAACACTGTATCATATCTTAGTCACACACAACACTGTATCATATCTTAGTCACACACACAACACTGTATCATATCTTAGTCACACACACAACACTGTATCATATCTTAGTCTCACACACAACACTGTATCATATCTTAGTCACACACATAACACTGTATCATATCTTAGTTACACACAACACTGTATCATATCTTAGTCACACACAACACTGTATCATATCTTAGTCACACACACAACACTGTATCATATCTTAGTCACACACACAACACTGTATCATATCTTAGTCACACACACAACACTGTATCAAATCTTAGTCACACACACACACAACACTGTATCATATCTTTGTCACACACACAACACTGTATCACATCTTAGTCACACACACACAACACTATCATATCTTATTCACACACACAACACTGTATCATATCTTAGTCACACACACAACACTGTATCATATCTTTGTCACACACACAACACTGTATCATATCTTAGTCACACACACAACACTGTATCATATCTTAGTCACACACACACACACAACACTGTATCATATCTTGGTCACACACACAACACTGTATCATATCTTAGTCACACACACACACACACAACACTGTATCATATCTGTGTCACACACACAACACTGTATCATATCTTAGTCACACACACACACACACACACACACACACACACACACACACACACACACACACACACACACACACACACACACACACACACACACACACACACACACACACACACACACACACACACACACACACACCCACACACACACACACACAACACTGTATCATATCTTAGTCACACAGACAACACTGTATCATATCTTAGTCACACACACAACACTGTATCATATCTTAGTCACACACACAACACTGTATCACATCTAAGTCACACACACAACACTATATCACATCTTAGTCACACAAACACAACACTGTATCATATCTTAGTCACACACACAACACTGTATCAAATCTTAGTCACACACACACACACACAATACTGTATCATATCTTAGTCACACACACAACACTGTATCACATCTAAGTCACACACACAACACTATATCACATCTTAGTCACACAAACACAACACTGTATCACATCTTAGTCACACACACACAACACTGTATCACATGCCATAGTCACATACACCATTGTTGTTATATATATTGTCACTGTCATGTTGTTGCAGACCTAAACAGGAGTCTCAGGAAGTGTAAGTAAGATACAGGAAGCTTGATTCATTTTCGCACATTTCCATCCTTAGATTAATTTGATTGTGAATGCAGAAGTGTACATTATAATATGTTTGTTGTGTTAATTGATATGAAATGTATGCAATATAACATACATATTATCATCTGTGTGTTGGTTTTTATTAGCATTATTATTTTAAATATTTTTTTTTATTTGATTGTGTTTAAATATATGATGTATGAATTGTGATAATGTAAGCTAAGTTTATATAGACAGATTTGAAAAAAAGTATAATTATTAAAACAAATATATATAAATTAAAAGACTGGAAAACACGATGAGCTGTAAAACATATGTACATTATATAAAACATCTGAAGAAGAAATGAAAGCGCTAATGTTTTACAGCTCATCGTGTTTTCCAGTCTTTTAATTTTTTTATATTTTTGCTGGGCACAGAGAATTCATCACATTTTCACTATATATATATATATATACATATACGTGTATAGATATGCAATATTTACATATACCCCAGACTTAATAAAATTTGAAAGATGATTAACAACGCATGACAGTTAACTTAAGATAAAGGGTACCATCAGTCATGAAATCCACTGAAAGATTAAAAGAGAATTTTTTTTAATCATGAGTTGTCTCCCCTTTAAAGTAAATGTGTTTAGCTCACTAGGCCAGTTAAAAGTTATCACCAGTCATCATAGCTTATGCTCTGGCTGCAGCTTCCCATCTCAAAACTTTATTATTTTGATTAAGTTTCTTAAGTGCTTTTACATGTATTTGTTGACAGTAAAATTTTTACTGAATTTGACGTACAATCAATGACAAATATTACCTCACTCCCGGACCATAACATTGTCAGTATTATGTTCTCCTGTTAGTCAAGTGTTTATCTTCTGTTTTGACAGTGTGTAGTCATTATTAGCCACATAATTTATCATAGGACTCAGACTGATGTGATTTTTAAGTTAAAGGGTTTATGATGATTGGTCAATCAATGTCTACCGAGTTATCTCCCTTATCTGATTCACACCTGATTTGGTCTGTAAATGTGAGTATTTTTAGATCACCTGAGACAATTTCTCATTTATACAACCTGTTGCGATCGCCTTTTCTGCCGTGCCATGCAGTGTGCATTATGCGTTGTAAACTTTCAATATTTTCAACATTTTCAGGTCCCAACTTTTGAGGGACCCAAGGAGCAGGTTCAAAAGGGATTATTATGCTTCCTCAAAAATCTAGATTTAATCAAATCGAACACTCTTCTTGAATGGAAGGATCTTAAGATGCTTTACCAAAATTGTGAATTTCATGACCCCAGGGTTTCACTCCCCCCACCCATGCATCTTAACTTTTAATATTTTTGACTTCTGGAAATCTCCTGTTTCAATGAAATTTTACAAAAACCTTCCATGGCTAAATGCACACCAAAATTGTAAATGGTCCCCAACCCTCAGGGGCTGATGGGCAGGGCCAAAAATGGGTCAAATGACTGAAATTTCAAAGATGTTCTCACTAGTCATTGATATAAGAATATAAGAAAGAAAATTCTAATTTTGAGTGTAATTTCTTTTAATTCAAACTTGGTAAGAAGCCTTAGCACAGCAGTGAATGTTATGTGTATGATGTAGTTAAAATTATCTTACTTGTGTTAACAAAATCATTTCTATGACATGTTACAAGAAGCATTGTAACTCAGATGACTGTTCTGGCCCTTTGGGCCTCTTGTTTAGGATGATTTGTTAATCATTTATCTGAAAAAATGTCAAACTTAATTTGAATTTGGATTAGTGTAGGATGATATTTACAGTATGCACACATCGACCCTGGCTGTGGCTCCAGGTAGATCTAGAATCAAATACTCTTATAGGATGGAAAGTTCGTTGGGTATAAATCCCTTGACCCAAGGGTCTCATTTTTCTCTCTTGGGATAGGGTACAGTTTACATAGTGAAATTACATTTTATGCATAACTTGTTTAGTTGCTTTTGGAAAAAGCTTCAAGTGACATCACAGAATTTTTTTTTTCTGTCACCTTTATCAATTTTGCATATGAATATGTATCACCTTATGGACCATTTAATGGTAGATGGTTTCAGCTAAAATGATGCACATTAAAAATGTTCAGAAAAATCTCTTGCTGTTGATTAGATGTCTGGAAACGTAAATTTTTATGTTCTATATGATAACGCGTAAACATGACACAACACATCAGTAAACAAGAATGGCTTCTCACGTGAATTAGTTGTGGTTAAAAGAATGTTACACAGTCAACGATTAAATATGACTGAAAATGGCTGACAAAAATCGAGGAATTTTGCTGGGGAGGCTTATCATGGCAGATGGAATGAAATCAGATAAAATCATAATATTGAACTGACCGACAGACTAGCCAAATGGAACTAGGTCAAAGCTTTGCTTGTTATTTACAATGCATGTACGGCTGGAGTGAGATCGATGGCTAGAATTTTTTTTTTTTCAATTCTGAATTTAAATTGAGTTATCAAACAATGTCTGCTCATCCAGAACAGATTGGAATATTGGAAAATAGGTGTTTACATTTTTCCTGTGTTCGTGTTTACAAATTATCTGCCTCATCTTTAAAACTGTCAGTAACTGATGTTATCAGATCAAAATTTGAGAGGGGTTTCCCAATTAGCTGAGTGGTCAAATTGGACATTATAAATTGACTGTGAATATGGGGATGTCCTAGAAAGGTGACTGTAAGTGTTAAAAAACATGCACAGTTAATACAAAGATATGGTAAGAATTTTAAATTTAAGATGATATATGATGGTATGCACATATTGACCTGGCTGACCCCTAGGGGCTGATTCAAATATGGGTACCCTTTACCTTAGTAAAACTGTAACATTTGATATATCTGTCCTCTCCACGTACAATAGCTCACTCTTCTAAACTAACACTAGATAGCTCAATCCTATACACCAACACTAGATAGCTCACTCTACACCAACACTAGATAACTCACTCCTCTACACCAACACTAGATAGCTCACTCTACACCTACACTAGATAGCTCACTCTACACCTACACTAGATAGCTCACTCTACACCTACACTAGATAGCTCACTCTACACCTACACTAGATAGCTCACTCTACACCTACACTAGATAGCTCACTCTACACCTACACTAGATACTTATAACTCTCCTTGTCCAAACTGGAGGACAACTGTAGATTCAATCCTATTTTAGACCCAAGTAAGACACAACACTGTAGACTCAATCCTATTTTAGACCGAAGTCAGACACAACACTATAGATTCAATCCTATCTTAGACCCAAGTTAGACACAACACTGTAGACACAATCCTATTTTAGACCAAAGTCAGACACAACACTATAGATTCAATCCTATCTTAGACCCAAGTTAGACACAACACTGTAGACACAATCCTATTTTAGACCAAAGTCAGACACAACACTGTAGACTAATCCTATTATCTACCAGACTGAAACACAACACTGTAGACTAATCCTATTATCTACCAGAGTGAACACAACACTGTAGACTAATCCTATTATCTATCAGAATGAAGCAGTGTTGTCCTAATATTATAAATGATTACTTACTACTAATTGTGCATGCAGCCATAACATAGAATGATTTATTTGTTAGTTTGTGATTATGTTTGTTCCAATTAACACCTAGTAACATATATAATTATACTTACTGTAGTCATGGTAACCATTATCTAGAATTGTCTATAGACATGATGTTGAACAACTATATCTAGTTATTATTTATTTACATATGTTGTACAAGTTGACTGAAAATAAAATAAAATATTTTATTCTGAAGAATTAATGGAAAAATAAAATGTAATATTACATTATATTACAATATTGTAATATATATTATAATATAATATTATAATATTACAAGTTTGATTGGTAGCATAATTTATAATAATTTGTTAATAATATGAAAATCGGAAAATACAATGTCCATAAGAAGGCTGTGTTAGAAGCCAACTTCATGTTTGAAATATTGAATAATGATAACATAAGCGAGTCCATTATTGATATGTAACTGTTTGCCACTAATTTGAAATATGGTAGCATGATTTCCTATTTACTGAACTTAAGATGCAAGAAAAGAAATAAAGTGTTATTCTATATTATTCACTTAAAATTTTCACACTATATAAAATATTATTCAAATATTATTTTAAGTAATTTTTTATCATCATATTTCACTGCAATGCTTTTTTTAATTAGTCTCCAGCACAGTGCACATCCTCACAGTCTCACATACTATCTTTCTTTTCTAACTTCCAGAGAAATGTTTGATTTAGATTTCAGTGGTGGCAAGAGATGCTCTAAAAATTATGGTGCAAAATATATCATCACTGACAATGTCTCATAAATAATAAAAACGAATTATTTTAGTTTCAATTTTAAATGATATTGTTTCCTCCTTTAGCCTCAACGGAAGTGAAGTGCAGGATATTCATTGAAACTAGCCAAGTTGACCAGACTGAGTCTGAGAATATTCAGGCTTATTTGTATAGCATTGATATTATATATCAACCTCGCTCTGCTACCATATGTAACCGTGGTAAAATACTAGCCACAATATACCACTCGACTAGAGAGAACTCTTTAGCTCGATTGGTAGAGCGTCAGACTAGAAAGCCTGGGGTCCTGGGTTCGATTCCTAGCAGAGGCATTGAAATAAATAATGACGTCTGTTACATTGGCGTCCTTGTAGGGACCCGGGAATAGTACTTAGCATGCCCCACCAGCATCGATGTAACCATTGGAAACTCGAGGATGAATAATTTCCTGGAGGGGGAGTATGTAACCCTGGTAAAATACTAGCCACAAAATACCACTCGGCTAGAGAGAACTTCTGTTTAGCTTGATTGGTAGAGCGTCAGACTAGTAAAACAGGGGTCCAGGGTTCGATTCCTAGCTGAGGCATTGAAATGAATGACAACCTCTGTTACACATGATTTATAAAAATGGAGGGAAA